AAGTGTAACACCTGTACAGGCCCAGGTCCCCGGCCCGGAGAGGAGGTCCCTTACCTAGGTCCTTGTGCTCTGGGAAGCAACAGCACGGTTTTACTGCCGGCCTCACCACAGCTGCCTCTTCAAGGCCCAGTCGGAGGCCACCCCCGCCGGACTCTCTGGGGACAGAGCCTGGCTGGCCGGCTCTGCAGGGGACTCCACTGCAGTGTGCCTGGTGGCACTGGCAGCAGGCTCCAGGGCTCCCCCACCATCCTGCGCAAGGAGCCAGGGATCCAGCAGGGAGGGGCGGCTCTGTGGCGGCCCCTGGGTCAGGTGCACTGGCTGGATGGGTGGGAGGGAGAGCAGGAGGTGGCCCGTGGGGGACAGCGCTTCCGGCCAGGGCAGGCTCCACACTGCGAGGCCAGGAACAGCAGGGCAGCGGCCAGCAACCTAGGCCTCTCTTGCTGCCTTCAGGGATGGAAATGCTGGGCCTGGCACAGGCACTTGGTGGACAGGAAAAGAAAGCGCACGAGAGATGCCCAGCTCGGGGTTTTCATGAGCGGTACAACGGACACAGACGGACCCACCCGCCCCAGATGTGACTGACGACATTCAGACTGAAGAAGCCACTGGCAGCTGGGCATGGCTGGTGCACACCTGTCATCTCAGCACTCTGGGAGGCTGAGGCAGGAGGATTGCAAATTCAAGCCCAGGCTGGAAAAATTAACAAGACACTGTCTCAAAATAAAAAGTAAAAAAGAAGCCACTGGCTGTATAAAACATTTGATCTGAGGGGATTCAGATGTTGGGAGCGCCGAAGGAGCAGACCTCACGCAACAGAAGTGACTTTGAGAGACCCGCGCCGCTGCAGAACGAGATGGGGGTGAAGTCTCCAGGGACCTGGAGCAGTTACGGTCAAAGGCAGCTGGGAGCGATGTGCGTGGGAGCCTGACCCAGCGGGGGCCCTGCCCAGAGCAGGACACCCGCCACATATAGCATCTCGGCCCCCAAACAGCCACCAAAGGGTTTCCAACTGAGGGGATCCAGTGACTTCAAAATGACAAAGTGACACAACCTCAGCAACCCACAGCGTGCAGAGAAAGTCAGCTTCCAGAGGAGCAGATGCCCCAGGTGCCTTGTACTTGCTTTAAGAAAAGCGAAGTAAAGCCTGGCATGGTGTACACGCTTACAATGCCAGCACTCTGAGAGGCTGAGGCAGGAGGACACCAAGTTCCAACCGAGCCTGGGAAACTTAGTGACTTGGTGGGATCTTGTCTCAAAAATTTTAGACGGGCGTGGTGGCGCACGCCTGTAACCCCAGCACTTGGGAGGCTGAGGCAGGAGTATCGCTGCGACTTAGACCAACCTGGGCTACATAGTGAGTTCTAGGTCCGTCTCTCAACAACATAGTGAGACCCTGTCTCAAAAAACCAAAACAAACAAACAAAAAATTTTAAAAAGCCTGGGGATGTAGCTCAGTGCAAAGGCCCTGGGTTCAGTCCTCAGTACCACCCAAAAAACAAAAGAACACAGAAAGGGAAGTGAGCTGGTGGCATATACCTATTGTCCCAGCAACTTGGGAGGCTGAAGCAAGAGGATCACAAATTCAAGTCCTGCCTGCAGCCTGAGTTAGCTAACATCACCTGGCCAGGTGACCGAGTCCTCCTAGCCCCTGTACAACTCAGAGCCGCAGTGGACACGGAAACAGGCACCTATGTCCTCAGACCTCTTGAAGGTGACCAAGGGTGGAGGACAAGGAGCTACTTTCCTGCGGCTGAAGCACTGCAGGGTTCCTTAAATGACTCTGGTGGCCCTGGCGTCTCCCTGAGCTGTCCTTGGCGGGCCAGTCCCACAGGCTCTGGTGCTCCTCTGTTAGCACCAGAGGCTTCCACCCAGCAAGGGCTACTGGCTTCTGGATGCTGGGACAACCTGCTGCCCTGGCTCCCACCCTACCTGTGGATGACAAAGGAGGGACCGGCTGCCTTGTGGGCCGTGTGCACTCTCAGGTGGGAAGTTTCTCAAAGTCTCAGTCCCAACCACATAATGCAAAGAGAAAGTGCCCAAGACAGAGGGTACCCTCTGTGCCTTCCCTCCTTCTCCCAGGTCTCCTTGGGTGTTTATCTAGGGTGAGGGTCGTTGTCCCTTCACCTCTGTGCCCAAGAAGGACCCCAGTGACACCCACAATGGAAGGTCCTCTACAAAGGTCATTTGGAAATGCTTTTGAAGCTGGACAGAGTGGTGCACACCTGTAATCTCAGCTCTTGGGAGGCTGAGGCAGGAGGATCTCCACATGTTCAAGGCCAGCCTGGGCAACTTAGTGACTCAGAGAGATCCTGTTTCAAAAGAAAGACTTTTTTTTTTTTTTTTTTTTTAAAGGGCTGGGGATGGAGTTCAGTGCAAAGGGTCTGGGTTCAATTTTAAAAAAAAAATGCAGGGGCAAAGTTGGCCAAATCCGTCATCCTGGTGGGACTCTGAGAGAACTTCTCAAGGAATAGACACATTCACCCACGGACACGGGCAGCTACTGGCTCCACTGGTGTCTCCCCTGGCACGGGCGTCCAACACAGCCACATTGCAGTTCTGCTGTCTGCACCACCTGCCACAAATTGCCTTCCCTCAGCAGTCATCAGCCTCACAACTAAAATCCACCTTCCGCTCTAATTATTTTTTATTTGTTTGTTTCTGTTTGGTTTTTCGAGACAGGATCTCACTATGTAGTTGAGACTGCCCTGGAACTCCCTATGTAGCCCAGGCTGGTCTCGAACTCACAGCGATCCTCCTGCCTCAGCCTCCCGAGTGCTGGGATTACAGGTGTGCGCCACCATGCCTGGCCTCTTCCACTCTAATTAACAACACTGCCAGATTCAATTTTCCATGTGGGATTAGCCCTGAATTCTGACTACCTGAGGCACCCAATAAAAGGATTATGAGATCCACAAGACCACATATAATAAAACGATACTCTGAATTATCAACAGGTAGTCGCAAACTTTTCTTCTGCCTTCAAGAGTATGCCCAGTGTGATGGCACACACACTTGTAATCCCAGCACTTGGGAAGCTGGGGCAGGAGGATCGAACGTTCAAGTCTAGCGTGGGCAACTTAGCAAGACCTTATCTCAAAACTAAAAATTAAAACGCTGAGGATGTTGCTCAGTGGTAGAGTGTTTGCCTGGTACGTGTGAGGTATTGGGTTCCATCCCCAGCACCAAACAAACAAAAAGCCCTGTTATGATCCAGCCCTATTTTTACAAGACCATAAAAGGAATAGCTCATGGAGGGCTGTGGTTGTCAATTTTGCAAACCAAGAAAATCAACTCAAAACCCCTAAGTTGCCAGGCATGGTGGCTCATTCCTGCTGTTCTGTTTACTCCTGCTGAGGCAGGGGGAATCATACTTCAAGCTGGGCCTGGGGCAACTAGCAAGATCCTGTCTCAAAATAAAATCAAAAGAGCTGGGAGTATGGCCCCGTGGTGAGTCCTTGCTTAGCATGCATGAGCCCCTGGGTTCCAATTCCAGGCCCTCAGCCCTTTTCATCTTTTGAGACGGGGCCTTGCTAAACTGTCCAGGCTGGCTTTGAACTTTCCATACTCCTGCTTCAGCCTCCTGAATAGCTAGAGTGACAGGTACACACCACTGCGCTTGCATGGAAGGGAATCTTAAGGGTCTAACATTTAAGGGACTGTCCGCATGGAATTGAAAAGATGCACTGGAGACAGGAAGGAAAGAGCCAGCAGTGGGCAGGCATGGTGCTGCGTGTTTCCAAGCAACCGGCCAGACCACATCTGGACCTGGCCATCCGAATGACCCCAAAGAGGATGGAAATGGGAAAGAAAAATGAAGCACTCTGCTTAGGGAAAACGGCAGGTTGAGCTTTGTTCCCCAGAGGAAATTCACAGTTAGCCAAGCGTGACACGCGAGAAACCACTCAGGGTGCCCATTAGGCACCCACCTGTCTCCCACACTTCGTTTCCACACAATGGCTGGCTGCTGTTGAGGCTCTGTTAGAAGGAACTGTGCAAGAGCACAAGCACTGGCCCGGGCCCAAAAGCCTGGCCCTGGCATCTACTGTCCACTTTGAGCATCAACGAAGCGATGTGCAAAGGCCCTAGGCTCCGAGGACACTTGTCTTTGAGGTGCCAGAGGGACAGTTTGCATTACCCCGCCATCAGCAGGGGCCAGAAAACCGTCCTGAGTTTGCACCAGGCCACCAGCTGCAAACTGGCCAAAAGATAGTCCAGAAGAATTACAGGGGCCGTGTTCCGCGCCAAGGGTGCAACCCTGGCTGCCTGATGGGGGCTGTAGCCTAGGAGGCGGCCTGGGAGAACAATGCGATGTGCCTGCTCCTTACCCTGAGTGCCGTCACCCGTGGCGTCTCATGTCCCCCACCCCCTGCCGTCTCCCCTCCCTCCCTCCCCTCTGACACTTCTGAGTCCCATCCTTTACGGTCCCTAAAACATCCAAACAGGCCCACACTCAATCTCAAAGTCTCTGTTCCCTCCCCGTTTCTCCCCAGATGCCCACCCTCCCACTGGGTCTCAGGTCTTTCCTGGGTCCCCAAATCAAGCCTGCAGCCAAACTCTCTGCCCTTCCCCCTCAATCGGGTCTCAGCGTTCCCTCCCAGGCCTCTGATGTCTCCTCTTACTGAGCGCCCCCCCATGTCTCGGTGCCCCCCAGTCAGGGCCCAGGGCCCCGCCCTCCTGGGCCAGCCGGTCCCCCAGGTACCCGGTCTCAATCCCCTCTGTCCGCGCCCACCGTGTCCCTTCTCGTGGCGTCCTCAGGTGTCTTCGGCGCCCCCCAGACCCCAGCCCCGCGTCGGCTCGGGCTCCATCCCGCGTCAAGAGCCAGGTCTCGCGACCCCTGACTGACGCGCGACTCTGTGGCCATGGCAACCGGGGCCAGCTTCCTCCATCCCACCTTGTCGCGCATTCCGCCCGGTTCCCACCACGACGCCGCCCCGTCGGCTCCTCAGCGCGGCTTTCCCCGGGTCGGGTTCCGCGCGGCAGGAGGAGGAGCGGGTTATTACCTGGACTGAACGAAGCGGGAGGAGTCGCTCGCCGCCATCTTGGCGTCTTCCCCAAACCGGTGGCCAGTGACGTCACCTGCCCCACCCCCAGCGCGGCCTATCGGGCCCCGCCCCGCACCCAGGCCCCACCCCTTGTAGAACCCCGCCTTCCCTCCGGCGGGTCGGACGTGAGCGTCGGTTCGAGCTCTGCCCTGCCAGATGCCCCGCCCCTTACTCAAGCCCCGCCTTCCTTGCGACCACTTGGTACTCTGCTCAAGCCCCGCCCCTAGCCACGAACCCCGCCCCTTATTCTGAACCCCCGCCTTCACTCACATATGGACTCTGCTCAAGCTCCGCCCCTGCTACAAGCCCCGCCCCCAAGCCCCGATTTCCTTTAACCAGTAGATATGAGGATCTCGACTCAGGCCCTGCCTCTTACCACAAACCCACCTTTTACTTGGAGCCCCACTCACGTTAAATCATTCTGCTTTTTGTATTGGTATGTGTGGTAGAAAGCACTGGGGCCCCAACCCGGAGTGCTCTTTCATTGAGCTACATCTAGCCTTTTTTATTCTTTTATTTTGAGAAAAAGTTTTGCTAAGCGCCGTCATCCAGTCAATTAGTCTTGAACTTGCGATCCTCCTGCCTCAGCCTCCCAGAGCGCTGGGATGACAGCGTGTGCACTTAATCACTTGTTTGTTTGTTTGTTGGAATATTACAAGAGGCTTGGAATTAAAAGCCCATTTGCCGACTGTGGCGGGGTGATGCTCCTTTGCCCTCTGATAGGAATCTAGTTAATTCTTGGACAGACACTGCGGCAGCCCGGTGCCAGAAGGAACATCCTGGTCACCACAAGGGTGGCAGGTGTCTGGGACTACGTGTGGCCACTAGGAACGGCCTGGCAAGCCTCACTCTCTCGCCATGCCCCGGCCAATGTCCAGCGTGGTAATGACATATGGCTCCCCTCCAGGGCCCTGTGGCTCTAATTAGACAATTAGGGCCACATCCTCTTCAGGAAGGCGGGTGTTTCTGGGATTCCTCTGCACGCACAAGATCTTTCCTCCTATTATGTATTACTAGCGTCGAGAGAAACAATTTCTCTGCCCAGTCTTAGCTGGTTCTCACAACCCGGCCAATTCTCATTCCTTTTGCTGTATAAAGTCACCTTGAACGCTGAATTCATGTACTCACCACACTCGTCATGTAACACGTTTTTAATTCAGTGACACTGAACTCACAGCCAGAGGCATTATATACACAATGGAATATTACTCAGCCTCAAAGAGGAAGGCGATTTGGACACGTGCTACAATACGGATGCCCCTGGAGGACACTGAGGTGAGCAAAGGAAGCCAGCCACAAGAGAACACCCTGAACTCAGCTGGGGAGAGGTAAAGTCCTGGAGGTGAACGGCAGGGACGGCGCACAGCCAGGGGATGCGATGCATTCGATGCGGCTGAGCTGTGAACTTGGAAATGGTTGAAAAGGCAATTTCATGTTAACACGATTAAAAGCAAAGCAGGACAGGTACGAGGATTTAGCTCAGTAGCACAGCGCCTGCCTGAGTTTGCGCCGCACGGCGCTCAGTACCAGGGACAGCTCCCTGGACTGCGGAGAGGAGGGGCGGGCTGCGGAGTTGCGCGCCTCACTCCTGCCAGACTGGCTCTGTCCTGAACGCCTTCTCCCTCTTTTTCATCCATCCAACTCCTACTCACGCCTCAGAACCCACCTTACGTTGTCTATGCCCCTGCTCCACTCCAAGAAATCTTCACAAGGACCCTACACAGACAGTTCTTACTTGGGATCGAATACTTGTTTCCTGACAAAGTAAAGAACCACACAAGGCGCCGGGCGTGGTGGCGCAGGCCTGTAATCCCAGCACTCGGGAGGCTGAGGCAGGAGGATCGGTGTGAGTTCGACACCAGCCTGGGCTCCATAAGGAGTTCCAGGGCAGTCTCAACAAAACAAAACAAAACAAAAACAAAAATGAACAAACAAAAAAAAAACCACACAAGGAGTCTTAAAACAATCCGTGATTCACTCATCGTTGGGGGACCTGAATCTGAAATCGAGGTGTCAGGAAGGCTGGTTCCTTCTGGAGTCTAAAGGAGAATCCATTTCCTGTTTCTTGCCTCTAACTTTTTTTGCCGTTCTAGTTTCTGATGGCTGCCGGATATAGATAGTTGGTCTCTCTCTCTCTCTCTCTCTCTCTCTCTCCCTTCTTTCCTCCTTGTCTCCCTCTCTGTTTTTTTTTTGTTTGTTTGTTTGTTTTCTACCAGGGATCGAACTTAGGACTTTCTGCTTGCAAGGCGGGCAGGGGCACCAAAGCTAAAACCCTGGCCCTCTCTGTTTTTTTTTTTTTTTTGAGACAGGGTCTGGCTATGTAGTCCAGACTGACCTTGAACTCACTATGTAGCCAAAGCTGGCCTCGAACTTGTGATCTTCCTGCCTCAGCCTCCTGAGTACTGGGACTACAGGTGTGCACCACCACGTCCAGACTTGGCATTTCTTGACTTGTAGATAAACCACCTCAGCCCTGCCTCCCTCTTTCAAGAGGCCTCCCCTCTCCTGGAGGAGGACTTTCCTCAGATTGAGAATCTAATCCAGGATGATCTCTTCTCCATACCCTTGGTCTGATTCCCTCTGCAAAGACCCTTTTTTCAAATCGGGGCAAATGTGTAAGTCCCAGTACTGAGCTAAGACTGTCTTGGGGGTAGCGTACCATTCAGGCTGATGCAGGGTCTCAAAATAAAACAGAGCAATGCTAGGAAGGGTCACAGAGCCTTCCCCGCACCTCCACTCTCTAAGGAACGAGGTTACCTTGGCACGTATTTATCTATCCCCTGTTTGATTTTACATCCCTGATGTGCCATCAGAAAACCACTTCTCAGCCAGGCGTGGTGGCTCACGCCTGTAATCCCAGCACTCGGGAGGCTGAGGCAGGAGGATCGCTGTGAGTTTGAGACCAGCCTGAGCTGCATAGTGAGTTCCAGGTCAGTCTCAACTACTAGTGAGACCCTGTCTCAAAAAAACAAAACAAACCAAACAAAGAAAGAAAACCACTTCTCAGATCCGGTCCCACGTGAGAAATAACATGAGTATTTGTTTAGCAGTGAGCTCGTTATGTCATTTAAGCTTTATTAAAATGCCGAGGCCAAGGAGCAGATAGATGCTATTATTATCCTCTCGAAAGAGGGCTGTGAATCACAGAGATAAAGAACTGACCATAAGCTACCCACAGTAACCAAAGCAGTCTAGCCAGGAGATGGGTCTGCGTTGGTGAGCGAGAGGTGAAATGAATCTAACAGTTTCTGTGATCAAGTCCTCTCCCTTTCCCAGACAGGAAAACCTCCCCCACCAAATTGTTCCCCCAACCCGCAAGGATAAGTTAAGCCTTCGGATAAGAGGCCCAGGTTTCTGTTTGTTTGTTTCTTTGAACACGGATTTTCAAGGCAAAAGTGGAAACACCGCATTTAATACAAGCCAGTATCTTGCAGAAGATGTGGTGGGGGGTGGTTGTCAGAGAAGAAAGCTTTAATGAAGGGTTTCTTTTTCTTTTTCTCTTTTTTTTTTTTTTTTTTCCGTACCCAGGATCGAACCCGGGACCTTACGCTTGCGAAGCAGGTGGCAGGACCACTGAGCCAAATCCCAGGCCCTAATGAAGTTTTATTTACGTTTGGGCATCCAAATGCTTGTGGATGGAGTCTGAACTGAATGACGTGGAAAATACTGAGAGAAAAGTTGTACTGAAAATAGACAAGGGGCCGGGGATTTAGCTCAGTGGTTCCGCCGCCTGACTCGAAGGCGCAAAGACCCGAGTTCGATCCCCGGTACCAAAAGAAAGAAAGAAAATAGGCATTCTGGTGGTTTCTAATGTGGGTTGAAGACTTAGACGTACTGATACAGAGATCTATAATGGTTCTAAATAAAAATGATTTCATGTTTTTTAAAAAAAGAAAGAAAACCACTTCTGCGCCTGCCTCATCCCCCACCCCTCTCCCTGCGACTGTCGGAGAGGCTTCCCGCTCAGCCAATGGGAAGCCGCAGATGCTGACAGAGGGCGGGGCTTCCCA